GTGTTTCGCGACCCGCACGGGCTCGGATATGAAGGCGATGCCTGGCCGTAGCTTGCAGGAGAAGTCTGGTTGTAATTTGAGTTGAACCCCGTCACTTGGTTCCAATGAGGCTGCCGAGGGGAATTGGCTGAAAAATATATGTCACTTAAATGTAGAATTCTATTAGGAAACATAAACTGTAAGCGAATGCAAGCAACTACTCATTAGAAAGCCAACATCATGACCACACTTGTGACATGTGAGATTATGCTATTTTGGGGCACCATCGTTGTTAACATGTACAAATCTTTTTTCTGCATTGCGTGAAAGTATTTAAAGGCCATAAACAACCTAAGAGTCTTTTCTTTCAATGCACCGTTTACATTCCATCAACGCCGACAATATTTAGATGTGGCAACATGAGGATAACGTTCAAAGATGTCACATAAAACAGTTCAGTAAAACTGTGTCCAAGAGGACTCTAATCTGAAACCAACAAATTCACTAATTTTAATTAATTTAATTTTAATTTACAAACCCACTCACCAAGTGGTCCCTTGAATACACCAGGATTTCTCTGCAGAATGGCTTTCAAGAGTTCTGGAATATTCTGCTGCTGGTCCACAGGTGGTTCTGTGCCAGCATAATGATCTTTAAGTTCTCTGAAATCAAAAGAAACGCAAATTATCTTAGTACGAGTCCAAAGATGACTGTCTTCTGGGCTGTAGTGCCGCGTAGTCCAGTAGAAGTTTACCGATGTTTCACAGGTCCTTGCCACCTCCATAATCAAGGTGAAGAGTCACTCTGATGATGGAGGCAGCAAGGACCTCTCAAACACTGGTAAATTTCTACCAGACTACGCGGCACTACAACCCGTCTCCAAATAATCCTCATCGCAAGTACTATGACAGGCATTTTGTAATTCAAACACGTGAATGTGTGAGCACACTTACATATGATCAGCGGACGTCTGAACAAGAGACTGGATCAACTGTGGCACCAGGGCATCATCCCGCACACTCAGAAGAATTTGAGCTTCCTCTGCAACCCGGGGGTGGAAGAGCAGCGACTTGTTACTCAATGTCTGTGGCAATGGTGAAGGAAGTGGCATCTCTGGCAACACTGAAAAATGCGGGTGACGTGCTCGTAAGTCTGAGAACGTGCAAGTTTTGCAATCCGTATCCATAACAACACAGTTCACATCGAAATGCTGCCAGCATATATGCAGCCATTAAGATTTTCGGTGGAAGAAAGGCATTGCGGCAGGATTTACTCCAAGTTCAGTTTTCCCCTGCTCATAATCATTCTACCACTGCTCCATCACGTGTCAATTCTGAACAAGTAGGCCATTATTATATCCTCAGTCCAAAGTTAGGGGAACATGACTCGTCTCTGAGTAGTCAGTTGCACATAGAAAAATCCCACAAAAAATAAAATTGCAACCGACGATATAATAAATGGAAAAGTGATTTCAATTTCCTTGGCTGTTCCATTAGCAAAGATAGTGAAAATAAAATTAAAAGACCTACACAGATCTGTTGGACTACACAGACAACAGTTATAAACATAAAAGTACAAAGGAAATGCAGATTACGCTTTTTAAAATAACCCACCCCTTCCCAATATAACTGTAGAGATGTGGCATGAATGATGATAGACGAGCGGAAGAGATTACAGACCTATCATATTCTGAGTCATCATCGCATAACACGGAAAATTAATCTTACTTACAGTCTGTAAGACTTGATATGCCGGCCAAAGTGGTGATTGGAACACTTGGAATTTCACCATTCATTTTGATGTTGTCATAAACACTATTTCACCCATAGTTTTAAGCTTGAGGCACTGAAAAAACATAGACACATAATTTTCTCATTATGTTAGTACCACTGATGTATTTAAACTTAATTTCAAAAGTACACGAAAACAACAACAACAGAGGACTACTTGAGAAATCATCCGACAAATTTTGTTTTAGTAATCTCATTAACCCACGACCCATACAACCTAATAAGTCCTAAGTCAAACCAAAATTCTGAAAACAATTTATGTCATACAAAAGACTTACATAAGACACAAAATATAAAGAACATAAAAATTGATGAATTGTATTTTACACACTTCGTAACATTGCACATATTCAATAAAATAAACACAAGGAACTATGTATCTTTACTTGACATAAAGTGAATATTAATGTAGCAGTTTACAGAGTATAATATAGTTATCAGCGTGAAGAAACCATAATTCTTCACAGCAAAGTATTCGTATTACAAAACAACAAAATGCACAACGGTAAATAAACATACCAGTCATTCAAGAGACAGAACCAATGGACCTGATCAACTGTCATCTGTGTCAAACAATCAACTGCTACGTGGGACACCCAAGCAGAAGGGACACCTGTCACTTGGCAATCAAGCCGCCGAGGTACTGTCATCTTTGGAAGTGTAAGTCACAAATAAACCTCGCTGTGAAATCTATGTGTGGAGAAAAAAAATCAGAATGAGGGATATTTAACATAATCTCAACACACACGTTCCAACAAAACAATAATGGCTGCCTTACGGGTTGTAGCGGTGTGTAGTCTGGTACAGTTCTTCCCATTTTTTTTTTACTTTTATCATTGTTTCTTATTTTGTAAATTATTTCCACGCAAGACACATACATAAAACAACTGGCAAGATTTAAAATTCGGCTACACAGCGCAACATCTCAGAGACTGTCATTTTCGTAGAAGAGCATGACTGACCAAAATATAGTCATAATAAAGCAATAAACCTTTTAACATATCAACTGAATCTGGACTTGGGACCCACCTCCCTCCAATTACATTATTTCTTATGGGAAATTTGAGTCAGATTAACGCGATGTCACCTTACATGAGATATTTCTGGAATGAAACTATCATGTTAGTCGGAAACTACCTACTACTAGCTGCTATTCTCGACTCTGGAATCTATCAGCATTCTTTTAAATCAAAAAACATCCACGGACAAAAAGTTTGGATAGTGCTACAAATGCATCACAATGTCAGGTTCTGCAATGCCAGGAAACTACACGCGTCTCCACATAAGGTGACACGGAGGCAAAAACTAAAATAATTTTGTTAAAACAAGGAATTAATGTTACAAGGCTGACCTCAGGGAAATGACAAAAAAGGGCACATGCTCTAGAAACAAATGCACAAAAGTGTAACTTCGGTTTTCGGGGGGGGGGGGGGGGGGGGGGTCTAGAAAATATCTATCACTGAAACGTCGCACATGGACCTGCAAAGTTTTCTGCCCTTCTTTTCAATTCAGTCCATGTCATTAAGTCTAAAATTCAACATTAATACAAAATTACCAATTCCTTCCTCAATGACTTGACTGCTTGGAACCAGTGTTTATCCTTGTCCTATCCACACACTTTGTCTGGTAGTCTATTAAATGTCTTAATTTATGTTACCAAAACTGAAAAAGAAAATAAAAACATTGCTATATCGATGTTACAACAAAAACAGACAATGCAAGCATAAAACAAATACAGAGTGTACAAATAACCATTTCAATGTAGCAACGCTCATAACTTAAAAGTTAAGGGATGAAAACAAAATGCATTTGAGTGGGTCATATGATCAAGCCACATTAGTTTCCAAATCTATTCATCTGAAGTGCTGAACTCACAGCTGTTAAAATGGCTTGTCAAGTACAGGATCTCATCATGCCAACATTTATTCTAACAAGACGGAGCACCCCCACATTTCCACAAAACTTCTTAAATTGCCAATTTCCTAAAGAAATACATTGGCAGGAAATAGAATTTGAAAGATTCCAATGCACTTCCGATGGAATTTAAAGGAAAAGTTTGTTCTGAAATATTTGTTTTTGGTACCCCTGTAAGAATCATAAATTGCTTTCTGTTGCCAATCACAATGTTCTTGCAATCTAGGCCTTGTCACTCGTGAAACACCCGACGTCTCTTCTTAAATTTCCACAATTTCACTTCACTTCTGAACAAACACTGAAAAAGAAGCATCCACCTCAGCCCATCAATAAGGTAGCCTCAGGCAATAAATTCCTCCAAATTCTAGCAACTACCAATAACACACACTGAAGACCAAACGTTCAATGTTGCGAAAACCTCAAATCAAACATAAGTGTAATGTACCAGAAAAAAAGGATAGTTCACCTGATTTACACTATATAATAACACAGAGCTTTATACAAGATTAATTACTAATCATACCTCACTTTAGAATACGTATCACACATACTTTACAGTTAATTATGTATTAATTAAACTAAAAATCAACCAAACATAACAAACCAGTCCGTGTCAGTGATGCAGTTCTCCTGTCATAACCTCAATTGATATCTGTCTTTAATTTTAGATCCTGCCCTTTTGCTAAAAGATGGTGATGAAACATGACGAGAAATGCAGCACAAATATCTGTACGTTGAACTGAATCCAACCTGTAAACAATACCAACCAAAGTGCCAGTGCTGTTACACTCCCAATTCCTGCTAACAAGGTCAGCTGTACATTCTGAGAGAAAAAAATGTATAACACACATTTTCATATTAGCTTCATCTAGCATAAAAGGAACACTGACAGCTGCAATACCTATTGAAAAGAAACAAAGCAAATTGCATCATACAAATTAAAACTATTAAATTGCATGCTTACATGCAATAAAATTCAATGTAATAGATGTTCAGTCACTGGAAGGAATCACAATGTCAAAGAGAATGGGTGTACTCACAAAGGTTGTGGTCCTTAATTGTGTTAAAATACTTATGGGCTGCCACTGATTACATTCAAACACAAAGCAAAGCTCCTTACACAAGGCCACCCCCCCCCCCCTTACACTCAAAAAAATCTCATAACCTGGCCCAGGAAACTATTACAGTCTCAAAAAGTAAGTCTGGATTGCATGTCTAGTGTGAACTTAGAATTACAAACCACACACATACCAATTATTTTGTCGTAGTACACACCTGCCTTCCATCTGTTAGAATACCCCAATATCCCACCCACTTCTAATGTTTCCTGAGACCTATCTACGGATAAGTTCTAATCCAGTCTCAATTCGACTGCATACAGCAATGGATTTATCTTACTTATTCATTTACGACACATTTAACAATGCTGTCAGTACCTCAGATTACACAGCACTGAATAAGAATCTGTTTAATGAATAGTGATTTGGAGAGGATATGGAAAAGAGCAGTCAGATCTAATGGCATTCTCCAGAAAGAACTAAGGAAAGCCACAAAAAACCTAAATCAGAATAGTTGGTTTCACAATTTGGACGCCTTCTGATCGAGAAACAGGTGTGCGCTAACCACTCGACCATAATGTCCAGTTACACCAATGGAAAATACTTCTTGAACAGGAACCAATGTCCATACACAATAAAACTACACCAACACAAACATTTTGCTTTTTAAAATATGCATGAACAGTATTTGTTTTACAATTTACAATATTACACATAACATCCACAATTCGTAAATCTCTCGTCAGTCAGGTTTAATCTGTAACAGCAATATGCCCACCAAACACAATGTGTTAACACTCGCTAAAGTAATTTAATGTACATTCCATCTGTAACAGCACATTATGATGCCTAAAGTTGGAAATAAATTACTTTCCAGTCCATCTCCCTAGTTATAACTGACAACACACTGAAAACTATATTAAATTTTGGACATATGAGCAAGATTCATAATGAATCAAATAACAAGTAATGCAACAAAGTGGTATATTATGGGTAACACACTGCTTATAGAAATAGCTTGCATTTCATTGTGATCAGTTCACACTAGAATTACAGCAATAACACTTTAAAAATTATCACCCACTGACATGCAATGTGTGTCAAAAGCAACATTTTTGCGGGCAATTCTTTATGCCCATAACTATGGAGGAAGGTTTGTTTGTAGTGGTTTATGGGATTGCCCAATAATCACTTTATGTGCCACACATCACAGTAGAAAGTATTTTTTTAATTTATAAGCAATAAAATATGGAGATCATGCAAATTTAAAAACATGCAACATCCAATAATCGCTACGGTCAGAAACATTTTCAAAAATAGAAATTTCATTGCTTTTGTGTCATGTGTAGCAATATATTGCATGTTGGCTAATGCTCATTGCCTCTCGATTGTTACTGTTACAGTATTCTTCCTTAACAAAACCTAAATTCTCCAGGACTGCAAGCATCACTTAATCTACTCGGCAGTTTCTTGAGTCAATACGACACTCTGTGTTAAATCTAATTTCATTCATATTGACAATCACACACAAACAAAGGCAGCTTAAGATCAAGATTTTTATCCTTACAGTATTGAAAAGCTTTCCCCCAATACAGGTACATATGAAGTGTAAAAGCATTTAAATTTTAGATGACAAATAGCATTTACATAAAACATAGCTTTCAATAACAGTATTAGAAGTATATTAAGTGTTAAAATTTTAAGTACCTGCATTTGATAGTACACCACGTATTAACATTAATTCAACATGCCTAGCTCATAGCGCAAAATACGAAACAGGTCTAAATCTGACCAATATATTACAAATCATACAGTAAAACAAGTCTATTACGAGTTATAAACGACAGCATGACACAGTCACAACATTAAAAGTTTCATGCGATGCAGGAAATTACTATTCACCAAGCAAATCTAAGTGCCCATAACAAGTAACCTGAAATTACCTTTACCATAATTTTCAAGCAACAATTATGACTATCATTTATAAAAATCTTACAAGATGAACACAGTTCAACAGTCATTCAATAATAGGAAAGTAAACTACACCATCGCACCTATAACATGTAAACAACTGTAGCAATGAAGTCCCTGAGTCTATACACAATATGAATTAAAAATACCTTAACTCAGAAGAGAAAGACAGCAGTAGAATTAATTTCCATGCTCCTTTATTTATGAAGTATGAGAGACATGCTACACAAGAGTCTAACACTAGAACACATAATGTAAAGATAATCATACTTATTTTAAAGAAGCCAGTCATCTTCGGACAGTCCCAGTCTTTTGGGCGCAAGAATCAGCCATGTCACTTTACTGCTTAGTCAATACAATTATGGCAAGTGGAATTAGTTATCTGGATAAACAAATCAGCCATTTTCAATCTGTCATTCCCCCTGAACCTGCAGCATGAACCACACAAATCATGTGTAATTTATTTCAGTAATATTCACCATCATGCAAAAGCATAACTAAACTTATGCAGGCCTAGCATTTCTCTGTGAGGTATGAGTTCTATTCATTAAATAAATACAGGCATGACATAGTTACATACATGTACAATGCAACAATTCAAGACCTGGGTCATATCTAAATATTGTAAGCAAAAAGTGCATGACCACCCTGACTGTTCACCATTATCTTTGAAATGGAATGTGAATCAACTGTCTATACTCACTAGTTCAATATACCAAATGGTACACATTAACCTATTTTACAATACCTATCTGTTTTGATTAGTCTTATATCAACTCATACATATTATAAACAATAACAGAAATTGCAAAAATACACATTAGTGAACAAAACAAATCTGAAAACTGAGGCCTACTTAGGCCTACATGAACCTGTAACTCCAGCATATTACAAATAATAAACAGTATATATAACTAAGTACAATGGACCTACAGTAGCATAAAAAACCTTACAGAAAATATTCACATACATTATTTGAAAAATGAGGCATTCATCATAATTAGTAACAGTGTAAACAATGAATATATTTTAAAAAATGGATGAAAACTTGAAACCTAATTGAATGTTCGTCCAATTGTAATAAAACTAACACGTGAAAAACACTGTAAATAGCAACACTCTTGTTATATCAATATAAAGACTTACCTATAAATTAAAAGTATGAATCCCGCCACTAGTATAAGTGACTTTAACGTGTAGTGTTATTCATAAGCAACCTGTACAGCCATTATGTCAATGACTCCCATTTTGGGGCTTTAGCTACACACGCGCCATCTATCGGTCATCACACAAACTTTACACCACAACTCGCAATTTACATTTCAGTCCCAAATGCGTCACGACGGGATGACCATAGGCACATCCGTAACACAATTAAACTTACATGGCCATGAATACATTTCAATATCACTGTCATCCTGTCTAAAATACGGGTAATGCATAACCAAAATTAAAATGAAAACCAGGATTACATGCCACAACTGATTCTAAAACACACCGCTAGAGTGGCCATCAGTGTACAAGGACAACAAGACCAGCCCGGGCAGACACAGAAATTTCAAATTCACAATCAAACGTTTGTTTCACTAACTTCGTGTTGAAACACAAAAAAAAGTAATAGTCACTGTCCAGATCGTCAAGTCAATAAGCGCAATTAGGAAGCTTGTACACCCGCACAACGCATTCACAGTTGCTAAATTTCCTGTAAGTCATCACTTATACCCACCTCTCCAAGGAACACTTACAAATCATATATGTAAAACCCAAGGGCATGGGGTTTGCTTCGCAATATAAAATAATTCAATCGTGTTAAGTATCGGCATAATCATTGCATATATTACAGCAAAAAATATATTTCTTCATATCAGATGTCTTACAGACGCGCCAAACATCACATATCCCCACACAACCAGACATACTGTTCATTCACCCGCCATAAAAATATAGTTCTTCTGACACTTTTTGTGTCAACGCTAGGTAACTTGTGCATTGTATGTATAACGTTTCCTTAAATATATATTTTGAAAGCGATAACAATTCTACTATAATATGTCAATATTTACTGCAATAACAAACATGCGTATGAATACATAAAAATACCTCGGTTTCGTCTATCTACTTGCCTTGACGGCGTACTCATTTTAAAACATAAAAAGACATTCTGTGAAGCGAAGTGTCCATTGTATTCATCTGTGCATTATAGGTTAGCTTCACATCGAAGGAAATTTTATTGCGTAGAGTTAATTCTAAGTAATTTGTGATGTTATAATTGTGTTTATAAGTTATGTCATCAAAACAATAATTATGTTTATGGCTATAACCTCTTTCTTGTTTGTGGGAGCAAAGCCCCTTCAGCAGCACATGCGGGCGGCTTGCCCCTGGTGAGAAGGCGTGCTGGTGCTGGGTGGTAAAGTCCCAGAGGTGGCTAGGTGGGTCTTTGATCAAGCTTGTGGAGAAAAGCCTAGCAGTTTCCCTATGGTATTCAGGCTGGAGGTAGCCTACTGCTTAGATAGCCAAGCCTCGGGGAGGCCCAAGGGTGTCAGCCTAGTGAGGAAAGGGTATGGAGTTTGAAAGCCCAAAGGGAAGGGAGAGATTTGGAGATGAATCTATAGGGTCAAAGCCTGTGGAACAGCAATCATGGGTGACTTGGTCTCACAGATCAAGAATGATTAAGAAAGGCCCAGTCTGTAAGGCTGCGGGGATGTCAATCCCTGTTTGGAGCAAGACTGAGGGGAAATCCCTGGGATATTCCTAAGAGGATGCAGGCCCCAGAAGTGGCCAAGTCCTTGGTGGTCTAACCCATCATGGTGGAAGCCTTGTGATGGAAAAGAAATGGATTTTGAAAGCTTAGGTAGCAGAGGTCTGGGGCAAAGAGCCCTACTTTGGCAAATTCTAGAGGGAGGGTGGTTGGGCATAAGCCTCAAAGTGCAACCCTCTGGATCCACTTCACCCCTTGGGGAAGGCCTCATGATTACCTCAGTCTGATCAGTGTACACAATTTTCTGCTAATAGACTGAATCCTTCACCAATGCCATTGACAAAATCCTACTAATTCACTGTTCTTTGCACACACCGAGTAAAAATTCTGACTGCAGTATGGCGGTATCGTGCATACTTGCTTAGATTCAGTTAATGGTGTTCAATTTCTTTATCATGAATGTTCAGAGCTACACCCTCTCACTAAAACTAATGTAAGAACCGAATCCGTGTAATTCTCAGTAATTTTGCAGCATTCTGAACATTCATTCATTGATTTCCAGAATTGTTTTCCCCTTCTCTTCCAGTAGAATTAGCGTTTTCATTCCTACGTGTGCAGTAAGAACAGAAGCTTGTAATTTGACCTCTGACCTTTCACATATATGAGATGTTGATGGCTGTGAAATATCTAAAACTAACTAACTAGATGGCTTACCGAACCCGAAGGTTCATCACCGAATTAACCAAAGCCCTCCACCGGACCCTGTCCTGGGCCAACAAAATCCAGTTTCCTTCAACTCCTATCTCCCATAGATCCCGCCTGAGATTATCCTCCCATCTACGTCTAGGTCTCCCCAGAGGTCTCTTCCCCTCAGGCTTCCCAAATAGTGGACCCAACCAAACAGATGGCTTACAGAACCCGAAGGTTCATCACC